CTTGAGAGCGACGGAAGCGAGTGAACGGTTTTGAGGTTGGCTAGCGAGAGACGATTGAAGTCGGCGAGACGGAGCGAGGCTCAGTTGTCGTCAAAGTCGAGTGTGACTCTAAACTGTTTGGTGAAGAGGTGAGGAGTAGCTCTGTCTAATTCTCGGATCAAGGCGGAAATCGAGGAGATATTTGTAGGCAGCTGTCGGAAGGCATGGCTAGGTAGACAGGAAGCTTCTGTCTCCAAGATTGGGAATAGCTCAGACGAGCTCTGGGAGAGAGTAGAGACTGAGATCGACTAGCCCGAGACTTTGCTCAAGGTCATTGTCAAGGCTGAACGCCCAAGAACACACATGAGCCATGGTGAATAGTACCTCAACTCCAAGTACATCCTCTTGGAACTGGAATTCTGGGGAGCGACCATCATGAAAATTTCACGCGCGGAGGATAGAACTGGTAAGAGCAGATCTGAACATACGAGGAATAGACTCCACCAACTGGCCGTCCTTGGTAAGGTGAGAGTATACCATTGGGGTTGGTGATGCAATCTGAGCTGCCAACATGGGAAGGTTTGTAGTGTCCGCGGAAGAAATAAGGTTGAGACAGTTTATTGACCATGATCTGACTGGCATCTAACTCGAGCCGGACATGGGGCCAGCTGAAAGCATTTGCGAGGACCATATCCTCCACCAGGAGATCCTTTGTTAGTTTTGCATGTAAAATGATTGGCTCCGTAACTGGACGAACGGGGAAAGGCCACCGGGAGATCGTCGATCAAGGGGATCGACATGCCTTTCTGCTAAACCCCAGCCGTACATGGGAAACTTGAAAAGCGAGTCAAATTGGATTGTCAAGCTAAGGTGGTTCTTGTCTCATCCGGCTGGTTGAAAACGGCTGACAAGCTACTGTAAAACTCGAGTGAAGTTACCTGCCGAGACTAGCATTTGCCTGAGAGTTCATTGACAGCTCAACTGGAGCTTGGGCAGCTCCCGATAGCTAAGGGATAAATTTTGCGCCAAATGTGACTAAAATGGAGTATTGATGTGACAAGATTGTTGGAGGGGAGGCAAGGCGTATGCCGGGTCTGGAAATGGCCTCCTCAACAAGCACTGGAATGCAAGTTGTGGACCACCGTGTATGGGAATTGCCTATATCCATCTTTGGCAACAACCTCTTAGTGACAGAAAAACTCTTTAAACTCAGTCCCAAAAAGCGTTATTTTCTCAGGCTCATCCTTATTCAGGCAGAGGCCCCAACGATGTCAACAGTTGGAAACCAAATGGCGCGAAAGGCAGTTGATGCCATTGGCTTTCCATTACCATGGGTTTGAAAACGCCCATTCACGTTATTGCTGTACGGAGCTAAATCGGATATGGCGTTTGAATACTCCAAGATGTACGGATTGGTGTTGGCGAGTATCAGAGTCAGTTGCTGTCTCACCAACTTTGCTGATCCACCTATAACCTTAAGCTTCACACCTTTGAATTGACCTTCGGTGGGCACGCGGCGATTTTCCAAGAATAGATCTGCCAAAGGTGAGAAGATCGCACCAGTTGAGGTAGAAGCCTTCGCTATTCTGGGCGACACCATTCATTGACAACCGTGTGCGTCCAGTTGCTCGGCGTGATCAGCAATTGGTTTACTCAATCGTAACCATGTGTGATGATTCGCAATGGGCAATTGTTATTGATGTATTCCCTGGCTAGATTCTCCATATTGGAAAGAACCGCTGATTCTGATTATCATCATGTGTTGTGACATCTCCTACGGTGAAGAGCGTGCTTCATCCTGAGTGGTTCCCGAGTCTGTATTACCCCTCCCCTCGCCTTGTAGGACACTCTGTGCTATGAGGACGATGGAGAATTGTGTTCCGATGGGCTGACACTAAAAGGAATCGATGGAAGGAGGGCACACGACAAAGTGCTGCAATGGCGAAACTGCTGCAGGAATGTATGTGGGGAGGGTTCGGCTCAATCTCACCAACCGGATAAGAGAGAGAAGAGGGTGAGAGGAGCCGAGCAAGAATGAATGTGGTTGTTGGTTTGGCAACACCAAACTCTAAAAAATTCTCCTGCGGATGCCATCACTGTCACACTCTGGAAGCAGGTACGACTGGCAGGTGCCACCCACCCACCATCTGGCCAAGCGCTGTCTCGGACCTGCATTTTGCCCACAGCGCTCCGTCTTTCCGTTCCCCCCTCCAGAAGAGAAGTAGAATCTTTCCCGTTCCCCCCTCCAAGAGCATTAGAAGGAAAAAACTACTCCTGGCTAGTCGCATCCTGTCAGGCAGCAACCATCTCGTCATAGCCGCACAAGTTACAACAATACAGGATGTCCGCATCCGGACCAATGCAAGCACTTTAGCGGCGGTGGAGCTCATCCTTCTCTCGGTGCCTGGTGCCGGAACTGGTAGAGTCTTGCCGGGCTGTCTTGAGTCGGGATCTGCCGCTAGAATGTGCGACATTTTCTGGAACTTGTGCCAACCCCAATCCTGGTGCCGGCGGCACCACCATCACATGAATCGGCAGCTTCTTCTCTCTGTCAGCTCTCAGCCTGACTAGAGCTTGCTCGCCTCTTGCCCAGCTGGCTGCGAATCTAGCCTCGGCCGGATTGCTTTTTCCGCGGACATGTACCCGACAGCCCTTCGCTATTCCTCGCTGCTAGCTTGACAGCTGTCATTGACCAAGGCAACAGCCACCATCCATCGATCATATGGGCGGCGGTGAGGTGTGGCATGACTCTAAAGGTGCTGCCAACGACCGACGCATCTATCCCGATTGGGTTTTCCAGCAGCGAGACCGGTCAAAGGTCCTCGGGTCAACGAGACCAACAACTGGGCAGCTTCTCATGTGCTTCCAGCTGAGTTGGTCGGCTGGCCAATGAGCCATTACAGAGCACGCCAGAAGGTTTGACAACGCATCAACAACTTCCCCGCAGCGTGGTGGACAGTATTACCCCGTCGGGACTTTCGGAGCAGACCCCATGGCAAGGTTTTTTTCTCGCTGTGGTCCATATTCATCCACTCAGCTGCTCAACCGCCATTGTGATGAGAAGATGCATATGCAGTGAGCCCAGTGCGGGATCGCATTGGTGGCGCTGATGGAAGAGTTTTCAGAGCTGGTTCCACCCACCAGTGCATACATACAGTGTGTGCATCTCATCCGAACTGGACGAGCCCGCAAGTTTCTGGATTCTCAGCCATCACTGCAGGCGAGCGGGACCTGGATACGATTCTTTGCGACCTTTACTCAAGAGGGAGCACGAATACCTTGGTAGCAAGCTGACCGGAGTGATTCTCGAGGCAAAGATCGGCAGGCACCTTGGTTTACGAGAGGCCCGGGGCAAGGGGGCCCACCTCTGGGTGTGATCATGATCGAGACTTGACAAGTTGACATGTGGAAGATACTCGAGCCTATTCCTTCACACAGAATTGTCATCCATTGCAGCCCTGCAAGCCTTGAGCCCCTCACATCCAACACCCAAGAATTTTAGCCAGACCACACATCCAACTCACAGGTGGACACTTGTGGTGGGTCATTATTGTTGTCACAATGTGTGGCGAGTAAGGAAACTTCTCCCTCCCTAGCTGCGGTGATGGAGGTGTTGGCGGTGGCTTGCTTGCCCTGAGCAACCATGCCACCTGTCAAATCACATCCCATCTTTTATGCTTTCATTCACAACTCAAAATGCAACCTCCCGCCAATGTTAAATGCCACCTTAAGGGGTGATAAGCTGGGGTAACGGGAAAATGCAAAACAATAGCCTTCATTTCCCCATTGTCAGATCGAGGCTTGCACTCCCTTTGGCCGCCATGTGTTCAGGAAGAACGCACGACCAGGGCTCAAAACGGCCAAGCTCAGGCTTGACAAGGCACTGCCCTAGCCACGTAGTTGGAAATACTGGCCAATGGGAATATGTCCATGAGCAGTGACTCCAGAAGAGCGAGGGAGGACAAGAAGTCCCTCACATGCTGAATAAGAAAGCTGCCAAGGAAGAGTTTTCGTTGGGATGCATCACCGCCGCCTCGACGAAGTACAACAACTAGCGCAGTACATGTCGGTGGTGGGAGCACACGGGTTATACCAGCCTCTTGGTCATCGATGAAGTAAGGTGGGTGGGCCAAGCAGCAAGCCACAGCGGTTTCAGAATTAGACCATGGCGGGAGAAAAAGAAAGCAAGAGGAGCTTGTTTTTGTTAGTGCGCGCATCAATGCTTTTCGGGCTGCTATTGGCACAATTGGCCAGATCTTTTTCACCTTCACGTGTGAAATTACCAGACATCCATCCACGTCTGCATCTTTGGCTATTCTGCCATTCTCCTTGACTGGCCTGCTTGGGGCACTCTGGCCAGAGCACTCTCACTGAGTCAGCGCGTTCTAGGAGGTGCTGACCACGGTGGATAGTGGACTGTGCTACGCGAATACCCACCCGACCTGTTGCCTCTAGCGCAGGTCCGGGCCTGTTTGTGCCTGGCTACGTTGTCAGGCATCACTGCTGCAGCGCTAGGCTGCTGGGAGGGGCGGCGACAGTGACATTGCGGGTGTGGTTCCGGCGCTACAGCGTACAAGCACCAACTTGCAGCGCTCGGGGCAATCGGTTGCCTCGCTGGTCCCGGGAGCTGGCGAATCAGAGGGCCCAGAGCCCCGCCTGCAGCCAACCAGCGTCGACCCCGATCGGACCCCGAGCTCCACCCCTCCATCCCAACTGTGCGTCCTGCCAGGTACCGCGCGTTTGCCCCTTTGTTCCTGGCTGGTTGATGGATGTGCCTGGGCACCATGCAGACGAGCTCACTTCGAGCCCACATGCCTTGTCTGGGCTCTGAACGGTTTCTGCTCCCGCCGCTGCTAGTCATGGCGCGCCGTCAGGGACCCTGGTGCTGGTCTGGTCTGCCACGTCTGTGGTCCTCCCCGAGGGCTCGCATCATGTATAAAGATCTCGCCCATCCCCAGCCTACTCAATCTCGAGCCTTATTCTACAACACAATCATTTGTTATACTCTCATTCACAGCTCT